TCATTCGATCTACAGTGTGGCGGCTTAACCGCCATGAAAACAAGCGGAAGCGTGTAATTTCTCCTGAGCCGTGAATTGAGTCCGAGTTCCCTTGGATATCGATCCCAGTGATCGCGATCGGGCCGGAAATCGTGCACGCAACCGGAGGAGGAAGGAAAAAGACTGGATTATCATTGGCGAAGAATTTTAACCGCTACCTTGGCCGGCCACCGAACAATATATCAGCCGTCGTGGCCGGCGCACACGAGCACGCCGCATGACTGTCATTATCTAAGATGCCACCGCGTGATTTATACCCGGCCTTTTGACTACCGAGTCGAGCCGCTCGCCATTTTTTTTTTCCGGACGAAAATCTGTCGGATGGACAGGGGACAAGGTTGGAAGTCAGCTAGGATGCTTGTATACCTAGGATGGTTCTTAGGATGGGGAGAGGATGGTTCCTCTGGACCATGGTTGGAGAGGGTTTGAATAGTTTTAGAGATATATTTTTCTATTTTGGAGCAATAGGTTTTGAAACGATTTGTCGATTTGTGGAGAGAAATTTGAAAGTGTTGGTGGTTTTGGAAGTATAGGTTTCGAGAATGTTGATGATTTTTGGAAGAAAGTATGGAAATTTGAGGAAGATTGAAGAGATTTTGGATGAGTTTGCTGATGTTGGAGGAAGTTTGAAAGTGTTGATGCTTTTAGAAGAAAGTTATACTATAAAAATTTGAGAAGTTTTAGAGTAATGGATGTGTCAAAGTGGAATCTTTTTAATTTGTAATATTATAATCCCAAATTGCAAAGTTTGTTAGAGTTTCAATGGAACGAGTAAGATTAGAGGATGAATTCCTGATGTTCAAAAGGATTTAGAAGTTTTTGATAGTATTGGATAGAAATTTGAAGATATTTTGTAGTAAGTATAGTTTCAATAATTATATTACTCGAAAATAATCTATCAATAAAATTGAAATATCGATTTTTACTCCAAAGTATTGAATCGCTAAACGATTGATTCGGTTTGCAGAATAACTTCACGCTACGAATAAAGGATTGAATCATTAATAGACCCTTCGATAGTTTACTCTTCTACGTGCACACAATGTAACGAAGGTTAAACGGCCGGATATAGGGACGAAACGACGTTAAACTATTCGCACGAATCGTACGCAAATTATCTTGAGCGATCGTTTTCGTTGGCGTGTAAATTGCGAGCGATTATGAAGATTACAGGTGTCGTAACCATCCTCTCTCACTCGTGCCGTCCAATTTGTCGGAAATGAAGAGATTTTTGTGTTTTATTACGTAGCAAGAAACGTGTAGGTGACAAAACCACTTGTCAATTCACCTCTGTTGCGTTTGTGTATTCTGAATTGCAAATATCCACCATACCTTGAATATTTTATCGAACCTTTGATCCTTGCGAAGAATTTATCCTTTCTTTCTTTCTTTTTTTCGAAATTTTTCAAAAAAAAAAAGAAAAAAACATTCCAAATTTCACTTCCTCGTTGCAAATTTCTTTACGGAAGAATTTTGCAAGTCTTGCGAGATTCTTTTATTTATCTTTACACCTCTGTCGTGAATATTTATTATCTCTGAGAAATCTTTCTCCGTATCGCGTAAGAAATAATCGATAGGCTTCGTATCGCGTGTATTTATCTTCTATTATTATTTACGCGTCTTTGAAATCATACCTTTCGAAGATACCAATCTCTTCATTATCTAAAACCAATTTTCATCCTCGAGTATCGAGGATTCACGAGTATGAACCTCTCTAAACAACATCCACACCGATCGAGGATTTAAGTTACGACTGTTTCTCTTTGACAAGGGTACACTTTCATAACCAGCCGTAATTAAAACTAATAACACGCGCTTCGGCTTCCAATCAGGAAGATAGAATCGCCGTCGAAATCAGACATGAACGATTAACTTTATTTTTTGTTTTGTTCAAAAACTCTTCGTGCCAAGTGAAAGTCTCCGTGATATAACGTTTGTTCAATTATAATTATAATAGGAATTATCGTTATGCAAATGTTTGGATTGGAAAATTCGAACGAATGATCAAAGTTTTTAAAATTATCTTACATCAATATTTAAAATATAACGTATCGATGTTAATATTTGGACGATAATTAAATTATAGATGCTGGTATAATTTTTTTGAACAAGAAATTTTATTATATTTGATGCGGAGAGATTCGTTGAAAATTTTTATCGAATTCGATAAAGAAAGATAGTTCTTTTAGTTTTTACGACGTTGCATGAAGATTAAGTAACTATCAAATCTCTATTCCTTATCGCGATTTCTTAAAACGTTTTTCGAATTTTATGTCTCGTAAAACGATCGTTCGTATACTTGTATGTACGTCTGTTTATGTCTCTTTTCTTATGACACTTTAAGGATGTTTCACTGATGTCATCACAATTTTATTAGTATTTTTACAGCATCATTATAAATTGATCGCGTTTCTTAAAGGTTTTACTTCGCGATTAGGAAAAATTGATTTAAAAGAAAAAAAATCGAGTAAGCCAATTGATCAGAAGCAGG